TCAAAGAATCACACACCAACAACCTTCTCAGCTGCAGTGCGGCAGCCATGATGGGCCTAGTGAGTAAGGTGGAAGAACTTGGTGGAATATTTGGTAATATTAGACTTTTGCAAGGAGATCCGGTACAAATAACCTTAAGAGACAATGCTGAACCATACAGTGTACATGAACCTCGCAGGATTCCTGTCCCATTACTTCATAAAGTGGAAACTGAGTTAAAGAGAATGTAAGGGATTGGCACATTGAGAAAATCTCTGATCCAACAGCATGGTATGCCCTAATGATAGCAGTAATAAAGAAAAATGGAAAAATAGGGTCTGCGTGGATCTTAAAAGACTTAATGAAGCAGTTGTGGGAGAAAAATATATCCTCCCCAAAGTGAAAGGAGCTACAGTAACCTCCAAGCTGGATGCCTCGAGCAGACACTGGAAAATTCCTTTAGTCCAAGAAAGTGCACAACTGACTACATTTATCATACCCTTTGGGAGCTTTTGCTTGTGAAGATTATGTTTTGATATTACCAGTACACTTGAAATTTTCCAAAGGAAATGGAAGAACTGTTAACTACAATTCCATATATGGATCTTCAATGGAAGAGTACAACAAAACCCTCAAAGTCCTAAGCCTAGTCAGTGAGCCTGGACTGAAGCTAAACAAGGGGAAAATGTGTTTACCACCTATCCCAAAAATCAAGACAAAGAAAAATGGAATCACTCCTAGTCCTGAGAAAGCAAAAGCAATTCAGACAATGCACCAACTAACATACCAGAACTGAGACATATACTGGGGATGGTAAATTACCTTGGTCGATACCTACAAGACCTTTCTACGGTGACAAAACCACTGAATGAACTATTGAAGTCCAACACACCTTGGCTATCAGGGCCAAATCAAGACATTGCCTCCAAAAAGGTCAAAGAAATTATCTCAGTTGCTCCTGTTCAAGTACTACGATGTGAACAAACCCACAATGGTCAGTGAGAATGCAAGCAGCTATGGCCTAAGTGTATTTTTGAAACAACATGAGTGGAAACCAGTTGTATCTTGCTCTCACACTCTCTCTGAAACAGAAAAACGATATGCACGGATTGAAAAGGAGTGCCTGACAAGTGTATGGGCATGAGTTTTATTAAATAGATATCTGTGTGGATTGAATTTGTTTATGCTAATAGACCATAAACCGCTTGTAACCCTCATCAATGGAAGAGACCTGGATCAAGCACTGCTGAGATGCCAGTGTCTAGTGATAAGGTTAATGAGATTTAACCCAATTGCTAAATATGTTCCTGGAAAAAAATCTGGTAGTAGCAGACACTCTGTCACAGAGCCCAGCATCGCACTCAACTATCCATGAGCTGGAAGATAATGTAAAGGCATATGTGAAAGCTGTGGATGCATACAGACCAGTGTCAGATCACACTACATCAGTTACAACAAGCAACCTCAACAGACATGCAACTTCAGCAAATTCTAAGTTACTTTAGGGTCACCTGAACCAAGTATCCAAAGAACACACACTAAGGAAGTGACAAGAGACTACTTTGTGGTGCATGGACTATTAAGTCATGAGTAAAGGCCATTTCATATTAATTCCAAATAAAAGAAGAGGAGAAATCTTAATGTCCTTCATGGGTGAAGTTTAACGATTAATTAAATGCCATGAATGTACCAACCAGTCAGCTTGGTGGCCAGGCATCAGCAAGGATGTGAAAAATAGTTATTTTATGTGAACACTGCAGATCTAAAAGACCAACACAATACAAAGAACCTTTAGTAACATCACCCCTATCAGAGAGGCCTTGGAAGAGACAAGCAGCAGATTTATGCAAATTCAGAGGACAACTGGTCACTATGGTCTATTGTGATGCTATAGGATTAAAATATGACTATGTAGATCATTGTTGCTACCACTGTTATACAAATGCAACAAATCTTGTGCAGAGTATGACATGTAAGGTGTCAATGGAAAAGTTATGGTTTGCTGAATATGATTATCCTATTTGTATGCATGTATCATTTTCATATTTGAAGTTATGAAAATTGACTGTATACCAGTATTTCAAATGAATTTGCTCCTGTTAACACCCACAAAGTAGTTTACATCCAGTCTAGCCAGCACATTGTGAATGGACTATTCAAGTTGTTGGCCCATGGAAGAAGTTTATCCCCACCTGATGGACCTTCCTGTGGACATTTCAGCCAGAAGATGGGTAATGGCCCCTGCTATGACTCATTGAAGCATGCAAGGGCATGTAACCAGCTCATGTGACACTGGACTCCATCTTGTGCCTGTACTTTTCCACTGGCTGTACTGAAAGCAGACCCTCCACATGGGAGAAACTGCAAAATGCCCTGGAAATCTCTCTATTTTGCCCCTTTCCTGCTCTGATCTCTGGAATATGGACTTCTACCAATGGGAGAAATCTAATCAAGGGACTGAGGACCTTCCAATCTTTTGGAAGCAACCAGAGACTTGACTTAAGTCAGCAGTTTATGCCATCACTGCTTCCAACCTGATCCAAGAACTTTGTAATTATTGCATGCATTTGATTCCTTTAACCCAGTGGTTCCAAAACTTGTTCCGCTGCTTGTGCGGGGAAAGCCTGGAGCAGCGAATCGCGGCCACTGGGAGCCGCGATTGGCCGAACCTGCAGACGCGGCAGATACACAAACCGGCCCGGCCCGCCAGGGGCTTTCCCTGGACAAGCGGCGGAACAAGTTTGGGAACCACTGCTTTGACCAATTTTAACTCTCACCTTTCTTTTTTCTTATAAGCCAACCTTTAAATATTAGATACTAAAGGATTGGCAACAGCGTGATTATTGGGTAAGATCTAAGTTATATATTGATCTGGGTATGTGGATGGTAGTTTGGGATCAGAACCACCCTTTGGTTGATGAAACTGGTTTTAAATAACCACTCACCATTAAGTCTAGTGTCTGGGAATTGAAACAGAGACTGGAATACCGAAGGAGGCTGCAGTTCTGATTTCTTGTTAGCCAGTGTGGTGAGACAGAAGTTTACTTTTGTTGCTGGTTTGGTATAACTTATGGAAGAATAACCACCAGTTCTGGGGTATTTCTGCCCTATTTCTCAGCAGTTTGTCCTGAATTCGGTATCTCAGTTGTGACCCACTGAAGCACAGGTATATTCCCAGGTATATAGAAATAACGTACTTGAAAGATATAACATGTTGCAGTATTATCACTTTTGCTCACATTGGTATTCCAGAACAACTTGTGATGGACAATGGACCACAATTCCCTGCAACAGAATTTAAGTAATTCTGAACGAAATATGATTTTGAGCATATTACTAGCAGCCCACATTACTCGTAAATGAATGGAGAAGCTGAGAGAGGTATACAGACAGCCAAGAAATTCTTGCTCTTCTGAGTTACAGATCAACACCAATAGCAGCTACTGGATACAGTCCAGCACAACTGCTGATGGAAAAACAACTCAGAACTACTGTTCCAAGTTTGGGAAAGAATCTCTCCCCAAAGTGGCTAGTTATGAAAAGAACAGTCAAACTGGATACAATGGCAAGAACCTAGGAACACTTTTACAACAGACATAATTCAGTTAGAGAGCTGCCAGCTCTAGCCTCTACATAAATCCATGGTACGCCCACATCTTGAATACTACATGCAGATGTGGTCGCCCCATCTCAAAAAAGATGTATTGGAATTGGAAAAGATTCAGAAAAGGGCACCAAAAATGATTAGGGGTATGGAATGGCTTCCATATGAAGAGAGACTAATAAGACAGGGACTTTTCAGCTTGGAAAAGAGACGACTAAGGGGGAATATGATAGAGGTCTATAAAATCATGACTGGTGTGGAGAAAGTAAATAAGGAAAAGCTATTTACTCGTTCCCATAATATAAGAACTAGGGGCCACCAAATGAAATTAATAGGCAGCAGGTTTAAAACAAACAAAAAAGGAAGTATTTTTTCACACAACGCAGTCAACCTGTGGAACTCCTTGACAGAGGATGTTGTGAAGGCCAAGACTATAACAGGGTTAAAAAAAGAACTAGATAAGTTCATGGAGGATAGGTCCATCAATGGCTATTAGCCAGGATGGGCAGGGATGGTGTCCCTAGCCTCTGTTTGCCAGAAGCTGGGAATGGGCAACAGGGGATGGATCACTTGACGATTACCTGTTCTGTTTATTCTCTCTGGGGCACCTGGGAATTGGCCAATGTCTGAAGACAGGATACTGGGCTAGATGGACCGTTGATCTGACCCAGTAAGGCTGTTCTTATGTTCTTATAGAGAAAAAGGATGGACAACTCCAGCTGTCAAAGAAAAAGGATTCAGCACCCAGATCATATGTGAGCAAGACTGCCGGCAGAGAGTTCAACAGAAACCATTGACATCTACAGTTTGCTCCTCAGAAGGAACAGATAGCAGGTGCAGAACAAGATGACGACGACAAGGATTCTAGACCAACCAAAACCAGTCATTGCAACTAATGGACAGCCAGATGACCAAGTTGTTACAAGTTTGGGTTGTGTAATTAGAAAACCAGAATGATTCAGAGACACTTAACAGACCAATATATACTGAAATTCAAAGACAGTGTGATAGTGTAAATATAAAACTTACAGGGGGAGATATAATGGAACGCTAAACTGTATTATACAGTTCAGCCACTAGGTGGCACTGTGTATAAAATACCTTATTTTAACAAACTTCAGCCATACCTGCCAGAGCATTAAAGGGTCTTATAATGAACACATCTGGTGTGTATCTTGGCTACAGAGCTTTCTCTGGGCAAGCCACACCTGTCGCACGAACATGACAGCTTATTAGGAACTCCACCAACACCAGCAACCATTTTGTGTAATTATCGTCTGACAGCTATTCAGAGAATCACTTTTGGTCATTATCAATCTGAGCAGAACTGGGGAGATGTGATAGGTAGGAAGTACAATCTTACCATTTCTACAATTTCATGCTCTTATTGTTTAATTTATGATACTAAATACTTCACCTGTTGCTCTAGAACCATATTCTTTTCTAGCTCTGCATTGAAAACCATTTTCCTCATGTAATCCAGCTGTTTCTCCAGTAGGGAGCAGTGGGACTGTGCTGCACTTAACTGCACACTAACATCTGTGGAGAGAGACAGACAAACACAGTGTAGAACAGTAGTTTTGAGTAACATTTAGCCTGTCCCTCACCCTATGGTCTTGGAGATTTAGAAGTTTTTGGGTTGGTATTTTTGTTTAAATATAAAAAAAAAAAAAACGGTACTTGGGCTGGGCTGGATTAACGGAGTATTTTAACATGTGAAAGACTCGGGCTGTGTTTCCAGGCCCAGATGCTGATCTGTGTTACTACTGATTTCACAGGAATTACTCACCATTTACACCAGTATAAACCTAATCAAATCTGGCTCCCTCCTGCCCCCTCCATACCTTTCGTCAGATTTGGAGTGCCAGATAGATAGCACTGAGTTCTGACCTGTAGTGATGTTCTGGTTCTTTTAGGAGTGCCACCAATGGACATCTCATCCAGCCAACCTCAGCAAGCAAAGACCGATTGAGGGCCTGCTCCCTGTCTTGAGGGCCTGAAGCCCTCATGGTCTCATATGAAATAGCTATACTTCTCACAGAAAGAGCTACTTGATAGGTTTTATTACATACAGTACCTAAAGCCAGTTTATTTAGCACCAAGCTGAAAAGTCACTCGATTGACCAGACCAGACCAGGAGGATGAGGTAGACGAGGCTTTCTTCGGACAACTAACAGAAGTTTCCAGATCACAGGCCCTGGTTCTCATGGGGGACTTCAATCACCCTGACATCTGCTGGGAGAGCAATACAGCAGTGCATAGACAATCCAGAAAGTTTTTAAGAGAGTGTTGGAGACAACTTCCTGATGCAAGTGCTGGAGGAACTAACTTAGAGGGCATACTCCTCTTGACCTGCTGCTCACAAACAGGGAAAAATTGGTAGGGGAAGTAGAAGTGGGTGGCAGCCTGGGCAGCAGTGACCAGGAGATGGTCGAGTTCAGGATCCTGACAAACGGAAGAAAGGAGAGCTGCAGAATACAGACCCTGGACTTCAGAAAAGCAGACTAACTCCCTTAGGGAAGTGATGGGCAGGATCCCCTGGGAGGCTAATATGAGGGGGAAAGGAGTACAGGAGAACTGGCTGTATTTTAAAGAAGCCTTATTGAGGGCGCAGGAACAAACCATCCTGATGTGCAGAAAGAATAGAAAATATGGCAGGCGACCAGCTTGGCTTCACAGAGAAATCTTTGGTGAGCTTAAACACAAAAAGGAAACTTACAAGAAGTGGAAACTTGGACAGATGATTAGGGAGGAGTATAAAAATATTGCTCGAGCATGCAGGGGTGTAATCAGGAAGGCCAAAGCACAATTGGAATTGCAGCTAGCAAGGGATGTGAAGGGTAACAAGAAGGGTTTCTACTGGCATGTTAGCCACAAGAAGGTGGTCAGGGAAACTGTGGGACCCTTACTGAATGGGGGAGGCAATCTAGTGACAGATGATGTGGAAAAAGCTGAAGTACTCAATGCTTTTTTTGCCTCGGTCTTCACAGACAAGGTCAGCTCCCAGACTGCTGCACTGGGCAGCCCAGTATGGGGAGGAGATGAGCAGCCCTCAGTGATGAAAGAATAGGTTAAGGACTATTTAGAAAAGCTGGACATGCACGAGTCCATGGGGCCAGATGCAATACATCCAAGGGTGCTGAGGGAGTTGGCTGATGTGATTGCAGAGCCATTGGCCATCATCTTTGAAAACTCGTGGATATCGGGAGTGATCCTGGACAATTGGAAAAAGGCAAATATAGTGCCCATGTTCAAAAAAAAAGGGAAGGAGAATCTGGGGAACTACAGACCGGGGTCAGCCTCACCTCCGTCCCTGAAAAAAAATCATGGAGCAGGTCCTCAAGGAATCCATTTTGAAGCACTTGGAGGAGAGGAAGGTGATCAGGAACATCAATATGGATTCACCAAGGGCAAGTCATGCCTGACCAACCTGATTGCCTTTTATGATGAGATAGCTGGCTCTGTGGATATGGGGAAAGCGGTGGATGTGATATACTTCGACTTTAGCAAACCTTTTAATACGGTTTCCCACAGTATTCTTGCCAGCAAAGTTAAAAACGTATGGATTGGATGAATGGACTACAAGGTGGATAGAAAGCTGGCTAGATCGTCAGGTTCAACAGGTAGTGATCAATGGCTTGATGTCTATCTGGCAGCCAGTATCAAGTGAAGTGCTACAGGGGTCAGTGCTGGGGCCAGATTTGTTCAACATCTTCATTAATGATCTGGATGATGGGATGGATTGCACCCTCAGCAAGTTCGCAGATGACACTAAGCTGGGGGGAGAGGTAGATATGCTGGAGGGTAGGGATAGGATCCAGAGAGACCTAGACAAATTGATGAGGTTCAACAAGGACAAGTGCAGAATCCTGCACTTAGGACAGAAGAATCCCATGCACTGCTACAGGCTGGAGACCGACTGGCTAAGCAGCTGTTCTGCAGAAAAGGACCTGGGGATTACAGTGGATGAGAAGCTGGATATGACTCAACAGTGTGCCCTTGTTGCCAAGAAGGCTAACAGCACATTGGGCTGCATTAGTAGGAGCATTGCCAGCAAATCAAGGGAAGTGATTATTCCCCTCTATTCGGCACTGGTGAGGCCACACCTGGAGTAGTGTGTCCAGTTTTGGTCCCCCCACTACAGAAAGGATGTGGACACATTGGAGAGAGTCCAGCGGAGGGCAACGAAAATGATTAAGGGGCTGGGGCACATGACTTATGAGGAGAGGCTGAAAGAACTGGGGTTTAGTCTAAAGAGAAGAGAAGAGTGAGGGGGGATTTGATAGCAGCCTTCAACTACCTGAAGGGGGTTCCAAAGAGAATGGAGCTGAGCTGTTCTCAGTGGTGGCAGATGACAGAACAAGGAGCAATGGTCTCAAGTTGCACTGGGGGAGGTCTAGGTTGGATATTAGGAAACACTATTTCACTAGGAGGGTGGTGAAGCACTGGAATGGGTTATCTAGGGAGGTGGTGGAATCTCCATCCTTAGAGGTTTTTAAGGCCTGTCTTGATAAAGCCCTTGCTGGGATTATTTAGTTGGGGTTGGTCCTGCTTTGAGCAGGGGTTGGACTAGATGACCACCTGAGGTCTCTTCCAACCCTAATCTTCTATAATTGGTAAGGCAATATTTGGTTAATTTTTTTTATAAAAAATTAACAAATTATGATGATTGGATAGGACTATATTCAATAGCAGCTCGTCAAAACAAACGAGTACTCCTTCAGTTGAGAGAACTAACAGCTGTATTAACTATTTCTATTATTAATACAGTGACAGGTTTGTCACAGAGGTAAAGATGTCATGAATACCATGACTTTTCTTTGAGTCCAGTTTCACAGACTGTAGAGCTACGGGGTGGGGGTGGGGGGGGGGAAAAGCAGCCCACCTGGGTCATGGCCAGACCACTTATGCTTCTACAGCCCAATTTGGGACAGGCAATCCAGCCACGCCAGGGCCAGGAAGGACGGGGTAGGGTCATCACAGGGGGTGGCCCCTGCCTGCAGTCTATAGCAGGGAACTGGGCTAGCCCTGTGGGACAGGAGCCATTGCTGTGAGGTGAGTGCAGGGTGGATTCACTCTGCAACACTCCCACCCCCAAGGCCTCTTTCCTCTCAGGGTCAGGACCTAACTCCCCCCCCGCACGTAAATCCCTCCCCTACATTTTAAATGACACACCTATAACATTACACACCACTTCCTCCTAAAGCCATGACTTTTACTAAATTTATTGCGACTGCTCCAGGATTTTTGATTAAAAAAAAAAAAAAGTATGACATGTCTGCAACTCTAATTATCACCATTGGAGAGAGACCTTTTTTCTGTTGTATCAATTCCTCATGTGCTAGATCTTTCGCATTTGTTTCATGCTGCAAGGTCTTTTTATACTGGGCAGCCTCAATGGAAAGGCAGCTCAGGTTATCTTCAGCCTGCGACCTCTCCAACTCTAGACGACGGATCTTTTCTTGAAGAGTTTTGAGGGCTGACATCAGAGCTGGTGAACAATTACAAGTTAAGTCTTTATAGTGGATTTTAAAAAAATGTTTTACTGCATTGCAATATAGTGTTAGCCATTAAAAAAATTGTATTGATTCCCAAAAAACAAACAGAAATGTTTAAAAAAACAATAAGGGTTATGAAATGACAGTGTACTTTTTACATAACAACCTTAACTGATATTTGAAACAATTGTTTTGCTTCCCCAAGTGGTGTATGTGTTTTTTAAAGCCATATACTCCATTTTCCTTTTTAAATGGAGTAGAAAAGACCATTTTTTAAAAAAAGAAAAGAAAGAGTACATGGGATAAATAACTCACCAAATTATTAGAAGAGCCACAGCACCCACTGGAAAAGTTAACAGTGGGTCCTACGGAGACCCAGCACATTCAATGTACACCTGATAAAACAAATGCATTTTGCATGTAGCTAAGTGAGTGTGTGCTGTGTATACATGCATGGCCATCTTCACTCCAAATGCTAGTAAGGAGTGCCAGCAAGTTATAGCAAATTAAATATCAGACTAAAGACTAGAACCCAGGTCTCTAAGTTAAACAGCCAATGCCTAACTTGCAATGCCTCCTGGAGAAGAGTGAGTAATACTTTTTAATTTCTAGATTTCAGAGAACTTTGCAGAAAGGGGTAAGCATTGTTTGCCCAGTTTTACAACTAGCCTAAATACAGAGATTTGCATCAGAAGCAGAGTGATCTACTGGATACAACATAGGTTTGCTATTGAGATTAGAAATTAAGTGTTGTTTCTGGCTCAGTAGTATTTTCTGTGTAACTTCTGCACTTTATTTATGCTCTGCTCTTCAGTTACCCCAATCTCAAAACCTGCACATTCCTTCTAGGTCGAAGGGGCATTTTCATAGGGATGGCAGGAAAGAGGAGGAGTATGTTTTAACAGATCCTAGATTTTTCTCTCACTTCTGAAAGGCAGTTTGAGTGACAACAGATATTCTCTATTGCCCTTTTTTCTCTCCCCAATATCTGCTTTATTGACAGAGAACTGCTTCTACTGTTAAACAATAGCTTAACATTCAAGAAATTGCCATTCTTGCCCTTGAAAAAAAGCTTCTTGGATGAGTCAACCTCAACATCTATTTAGGATTCACTTATTGTGGCATCATGTGATTGTTTTGGACAGATCGAAGGGAAAGTTAGACACTTTGGAAAAATGTCAAGGAATTTTTACATTTCAAAAAAGTATTTGTTCCCTAACGTAATGTGTGGTTAAAACTGTGCTTTCAAATGTTTATGATGAAGCATCACCACAGCTACAGCTTTTACTATGAAGATGCTATTGCCTCTCCATAGTCACACACCTACAGTGAAAGGGCCAGATTCTGACACAAACTAAGCACTCGGTGACATTCCAATAGCACACACAAGCCTAAAGGTTTCCCATACACAGAGGATTCTCTTGGTGAGGGGGAAATAATGTCCCCCTCCTCCCCGCCAGCTACCCCCATTTTCCTCAGAGCACAGTGGTTGGCTGGATCATGTTGCAGTGACCCCCAGCTGGCACAATGGCCCCTAATCAGAGCCGGCTCCAGGCACCAGCGAAGGAAGCAGGTGCTTGGGGTGGCCAATGGAAAGGGGCAGCACGTCCGGGTCTTCGGCGGCAATTCAGTGGCGGGTCCCTCAGTCCCTCTTCCTCTTTGAGCTGCCGCCGAAGAGGAAGAGAGGGAGTGAAGGAACCGCTGCTGAAGAATGAAGCGGTGTGATTGAGCTGCTGCCGAAGTGCCGCCGATTGGCTTTATCCCCCCGCCGCTTCGCTGCTTGGGGCGGCAAAAAAGCTGGAGCCAGCCCTGTCCCTAATGTACAGGGGCCTTAAACTTGGAGCAATACTGTCCCCAAGATCAGGGACTGGAAGGCAGAAATGTGGTAAAAAGCCACCTTAGATCTTCCCCTAGGTGTACGAGGCACTGTTCCAGTGTACCTGAAGCCTAAGCCCCGGAACTGTAGTCTCATAGTTTAAAAAAAAGGAACACCACACACTCACTCTCAAGTAGCAGAAGCTTGTGTAAGAACTCTATTAGGAGTCAACTACACAAGGAGCCTTAGGTTCTTCCTATGATTAAGCCACACTAGAAAGAAACATGTTCACATACATATATAGTACCCAACATTGCTCCCACCAAAATTACTAGCAAATAATTCACATTAACAGCAATGGGAACAAGACTGGGTTCAAAACTATCCATAACCAAAGTAGTTTATAACTTTGGTTCTTTACGATGCATTTTCTTCTCAAGTTTTCCAGGGGTCATCTTATACAGAAAGTTTAAAGCTAGCAGGAAGCAAACAATGTCACACAAAAATCAAAAGTTTCAAATCAAAGTAATGCTAAAAAAAAAGTGATGAACTTCAAACTCTACAGCAGCATTTTCCTTTGCCTTCAGAGGACATCTCCAATTTTCAAGCAAAACAGATTTCACAGCCAAAGTTAGGAGAGGTGGCAACCAGCTTCTATGATACATCCCCAAGTCTGGATACTACTCACTCTCCACACAAGCCTCCAGTCCAATGATCTGAATGACTAACAGTCAGAAGTAGAACAGACAAGGCAATTTGTTTAACTCTGTTAAACGAACACTTATTTTTTGTGGCTTTACCTTGGTTGTTTGGGGCAGGAAGCATGTCACCAGTGGTAGCTGTTACCTTCTTTGACTTGCTCTGACCAAAGGTAGGAACAAACATTCTATCTGGAGGCTGCAGAAAGCTTCCTATGAAACTTTGCTTTGATTCAGAACCCATGGTCTGTAGAAGGAAAGATGTACATAATGCCATTATTTCCTAAATGGACTATTATTATAACACTGACAACTAGTTCAAGACAGGGTATTGGACAAAAGTTTGTATCAAATTAAATCAATTGGGTTGGAAAGAACACTGAGCAAGTGAGCTGGTCCTTCCCTCTACATTCTGTCAAGAATACTGTAGTTTAAATAGCTCCCAACAAATGCCTTACAAAAAAAAATCACCAATGAGAGAAATGCTACAGATTCCCTTGGCATCTTGTTTTATTACCAAAAACATTCTTAAATGTTTCCTTCTTGCTTTCTAAACACATTTATTCTGTTTTTTAAACTTTTTGACTGGGGAATAATGGACCCCTTTCCTAACATCCTCATATATTTACAGGACAGTTATGTCTTATTTTTAATGTAGAATGAGCATGCCCTTTTCCCCACGTATACTTTACCCCACCCCCAACCTCTGAATGCACCAATGTAGGTGTTTTTTAAACAAACATGTGGTGTTCAAAATTTAATACAGCTGAAACCTAATAATGGCCAAGCAAAAAAGAACCTTTCTTTTCTTGATTTAAATATGCTGTATTCCCATTAATACAACCTAGTAAAGAGTCCCCCCTTCCACATTCCTCATTTTCTCAGAAGCAGATTTTCAAGGGCATGTTTACTCTGCCTAAAATAAGACAGTTTAACTGTATTTGAGATACAGACAATGAAGTTTGGACTAGGTGATTTAGTAAAGTTGACCCTCAGAGCTCAGCCAAAAATGTTTATTCCAGGATAACTAACTCAAGTTCCAGTCAGATATTTATATTAGAAATTAAATATTCAAGCATTGAATATTAGTTATGTATTCCACCCAAATGGAGGAAAAAATGTGACAATAAGAACATGAAAGAAATGCATTTCTTAAGTGTTTTTCAGACGTGTTGGATTATTGATCATGTCTAAACAATATTTTGCTTACTGCATTAAGTTACTTCTAATTTGACCTTAATGATGCTCAAGACAAATTAGAAACAAGTTTTAAGACTATATTTGTCAGTTGTTTCATGGTTTCTTAACCCGACCATTTCTTATGGTGCTTTATTTAAATATATCTGTTGGGTATAGATAGGCCTAACATCAAAACTCTCAGTCGGAACTTTGCAGCTCAAGTTCACCTCTATTCAGTCTTACTGAAATAGAGTTTTAATGATGAATTCATAAAACTGCCCTGCTACTATAACTATGGATTGTTTGGAGAGTCTGTAGACAATCCTTGTAACATAACAGTTACTACCATCCATTCTGGACTCCATGTTATCTCAAAGTCAGCCCAAATGCTTAAGCCCCTTTTTTATTCACATTCCTTATTATTTTTCTTTACTATTATTCACAAATTAAGTTGTGAATTTCCAAGGCCTTATACAGAATTTCTTATTTCAAATTCAACCTCTTTGGTTTTAACTTGGGTCCCAGGAACTTGGTTCTGTGCTGTATTTCAAAAGTTATAATAGCCACAGAAGATGACAACTTTTATCACAACACATCAGACACATGCAAGATTCCTTTAACAAACCTAAATAATTAAACTCAAAAAGAGTGAATACAATACCAAATTAGGCAAATGTTAATCATACCATCACAGCTCAGTGAAAGACAACTCTCATTACAGAAAAGACACTTACTTGAAGGCCCAGTAATACAGTAAAACTGTGGTATCATACAGCAGATTAAAATACTGCAGCAGACTCACCTTTTCTTCCCAAAGTCGCAGAAAGAGGGTATTTGCTGTACCTCTTCCAGCATAAACTCCAATGTCTACTCAGCACAGCGTCAATGTGGTTTCGGTTTAGACAAAATAATTTACACCACTCATTTGGTGAAGTCACAAAAGAAACCATCTAACAGGAAGAAGCAGCAACCCACAACAAGAACAAACTGCAGCATTTATCTAATTAAAGTTAGATCCCAGAAGAGAGTCAATTTGAAAAAATATTCAAAACAAAAGTTTTTCCAGAAAAAGCGGTCATAGTGTTGATGTTTCAGAGGGCATTTAAAACAGAAAAAGAGCCAACATCCTGGTATGCAGCATCTTCAAGCTACTCATGAAATTGGAGATTCTCGGTCAGATACCTTCCTCATGTTCTAAATTGCTATTAAATAGATGCTATCAAGCTCAGAAATCTGCTGGGCAGTACATACCTGATTTCAAGACACTCTTACAGCTAACCCTTCAGATGAACTAGAGTTCAGAGGTTTCCCTAAGACCTGGGACACAGCCAAACTGTCACAGTCCACTCTGACAACTTTTGTTAACTAGTTTTAACGAACAAATAATTTGTTCAAAATAGAGTACTTTCCTGGAGAGTACTTCAACCCATAACATTCCAATGCAGTTTTATTGCTACTGACAACCACTGTATTCTAGGCTGTCATACAGAACACTGCTACATCATATCTACTATAGATTACAAGCCACGTTATCCAAATTGAACCCTGCCACAGTAGCTCTTACTGATGAGAAAACCTTCTTCACCAAGACAGGAGACCATATGCAATCTTGATTACCATGCAGCAGAGGATAAAATACAGTAGATAAGTACTTGCATGGGGCAGAAAGTACAGGAACACAAAAGCAAGCTTTCATTACATCGTGATCCTTTCTTTCCAGTTTATAGGAGTTTAATACCCGATGGATATAATTCGGTAGTTGAACAATTTACCAGGGGCTTATATTCACATTCAGAATCACAACACCTAACTTTCAGGCACCTAGAAAAAAGTCACAGGAACAACAATGCAATCCACAAAGCCTGAGTTAGGCACCTAGGCTCTCTATACAACAAATGGAGAGAGACAGGCACATTAGAATATGATCCACAAAAGATAGCATGCATAGAGAGCTGCCTAACTTAGCCAATGGAAGATGCTGATGGCGGGGGGGCGCTATGGGATATTCTGATATGGGTCTCCCTCTATATCTCCTGTTGAAGCGATCTCACTATGGGTAAATAATTAGAGCAAGAGGAGTGGAACATGGGTCTTCCACTTCCAAGGGGAGTGCACTAAGGAGCAGGCTATTGAGTTTCTTACTTTCCTTTTGCCTCAATTAATATTCATTTATCCAAAGTGGAACAGCTTCAAACAGGAGAGACTGAAAGTGTTTTGTAAACGGCAGTGGTGCCTAACAACAGGACTTAGCACAAAGTACCTTTGTGAATCCAGCCCCATATGCCTACTAGCCACAACTAGATACAAAGAGAAGAATAAAGAGGTGTTCCCACCAGCAAGTCAAAGAGCAATACCCTATTAAGAAGCCAAGTTTCAGTCACCCCACCTGCCAAGAAGAGAGAGCATGCTAAGATTTCAGCAGAGTGCTCTTCCTGGACCCTGCCAGAGTGCCAGTCCAGTCCTCTATGAGCCTCTGACTACCAGTATCCTGTCAACAAGAAGCTTGAACACATGGAAAGGATAGCAGCTTTGTCTCTTCTCTTCCTCCCCACCCTACAAGCATCTCACTGTTTCAAGGGAAATGCAGAAAGGCCTGTTAGCCAACCCCTTCTTCCAGCCTCTTTTTTAGGGAGCCGGGGGGAGCTCTTACTCCTCAGGGAATAGTGGCTGCTGATGCTCAATAAAACATCTGCAGCAGCATGAAATTGGCAAGATTATTGATCAGTTTCACCAATGCCTCTGGGACAGTCATCTGGAAACATTAGGGTCATTTTTAGTGTCATTTCAACCATCTGTCTTTAGACTCAGAGGCTGTGTCATACTAGACTTTTTGGTGCTAAGTCTTCCATCCAATTGCAGTTCCACCAGTGATAGTAAGATTGAGAACCTGAGTGTAAAAAAGGGCATCATTTTTATCTGTGTAATCTAACCCAGATAAAAGCAGAGAGTCGCAGGCTGCAGTTTGTAGACCACTGGTACTCTGCAGGAAGCTGGCTGCTCACGTGGAGCTGGCTCACCTCCACATTTCCAGCTGCTAAAAATTTAATTTAATGTGCTTGTAGCCAATTTTTAATATTTTCATAGTATAACTCTTCCATGTAAGCAATGTCCAGAGTTGCCAGGGGGCTATTTTATTATCATGATTAGGAGGGAAGATTATCTCAGATATCATGATTTGAAAGGAGTGGCCCACAAAAATGTTTGAGAATTCTTGATTTAGATGCCACACTATTGCCTCCATTATTTTTTACACCAGTAGATTTTCTTCCTCCACTTCTTTTCCCAACATTCTAGTTTAGACCAGACAAAATAGCATCAGTTTACATTCAGATCAGCTATTCAATGTTGTTATCTTTGCAACATAATGGCTATAAACTTTGTTTTTAAATGGTAGTTTAAGTTTTGAAAAGGATGTCTTATGTCCCCACAACACCCATCAGTGAATTCTCCCTTTTGGGAGGCCTTTCTAAGCCATGAATATTATTTTATACTAATATTTATATTTAGTTTGCTTAATATTTGTAGGGTGATTAGTTTAACACCCAAATTTCTTTCTTTTCAGGAATGTACCATAGCTTATAATGGACAATTAAACATTCTCTATATGTGTATTTAACTACTCAGCTACAGCACTGAGGTTCCCATGCAGACATCTGAATAAAGCCTGAACCATCAACAAATGACTCTCCAGGAAACCTACTGTATTCAGCCCAATGTGACAAGAAATATTTATCAAGAAATAAGTAAGTAGCCAGCGTAAACTCAGGTATGATCCGTTCCATTTTTTCCACTTTTACCCTACATTGTTTGCATGAAGTCTCTGTCCAACACTGAGGGCAGGTCTACACTACAGGGCTAAGTTGACCTAAATAACGTAGCTGGAGTCGACATAGCTTAGGTCGACTTATTGTGGGGTATACACTGTACTGGGTCGATGGGAGAAATTCTCCTGTCGACTTACCTTACGCTTCTCATTCCGGTGGAGTAGATTGGAGAGCGATCTGCGATCTATTTAGTGGGTCTTCACTAGACCCGCTAAATTGACCCCAGTGGATCGATCGCCACAGCGTCAATCCAAGGTAGGTGTAGACATACCCTAAGTGCTAGTCTACACTAGAAAAGTTACACCATGTAAGGACCTTTGAATAACCCATTTTTGGAAGGAGTGCAAGACAACTTTTTGGCTAATTAAGTACCGGTTATCTCACTTCTTGAAATATCCTTGATATTTAGATAAATAACAAGGATGAAGGAACAATGAGAAGTTGTGATGACCCCACCAAATAGGATCAGGGTAAATAAAGAAAGTCCCTGTCAAATATAAGATTAACAATAAGAAAACTATTAATAAGTAGTTAATCAAGTTATATAATTTAGGGTGTAATGCAGAATCTTGTATTTGGTCATAGAACATTACTCCTCGTTATGTAACGAATCAGAGGAGGGGGTGTTGATAAAAATATGGTGTCATCTTGGGCATAAAAGCGTACTGAAACTTAAGTCTTTGCCTTTGTTTGTGCACAACCTTGTCTGTATGTACTAAGCCAGATCACTGGCAGGTCACGCTCAACTGATCACAGGGGTGTGGTACTTTGTTCCGCTACGGATATAAACCTGTTCCTTGAATCTGAACTCTGGAGTTAGCAGTGGTTTTGTCTGCTACAGCAAGCAGCAGTCGTCTGCTTTGCTGGGTTTGTAAAATAACCTGTGGGCCTGGTTGGTGGTCCTGAAAACAAACTTAGCCCTGGTCTACACTACAAGTTTAGGTCGAATTTAGCAGCATTAGATCGATTTAACCCTGTACCCATCCACACAACGAAGCCATTTTTGTCGACTTAAAGGGCTCTTAAAATAGATTTCTGTACTCCTCCCCGACAAGGGGATTAGCGCTGAAATCGACCCTGCTGGATTGAATTTGGGGTAGCGTGGACACAATTCGACAGTATTGGCCTTCGGGAGCTATCCCAGAGTGCTCCATTGTGACTGCTCTGGACAGCACTCTCAATTCAGATGCACTGGCCAGGTAGACAGGAAAAGCCCCGCGAACTTTTGAATTTCATTTCCTGTTTGGACACCGTAGAGAGCTGATCAGCACAGGTGACCATGCAGAGCTCATCAGCACAGGTGACCATGGAGTCCCAGAATCGCAAAAGAGCTCCAGCATGGACCGAATGGGAGGTACTGGATTTGATCGCTGTATGGGAAGACGAATCCATGCCATCAGAACTCCGTTCTAAAAGATGAAATGATTAAGCGCAGACAGACACCAGGGCCGTTAGAAGAGCGCAGCAGGGCGCGCTGCGCATCAGAGAAGCTTTGAAAACCAGTTTCATGATTGGCCAGGCTATGGTGTGAAAGTTCTATTTGTTTCTCCTTGATGAAAACCCACCCCCTTGGTTTACTACTTCTCTGTAAGCCAACCGCCCTCCCATCCCCGCTTTGATCTCCGCTTGCAGAGGCAATAAAGTCATTGTTTCAAATTTATGCATTCTTAATTCATCACACAAATTGGGGGATAACTGCCAAGGTAGCCCGGGAGGGGTGGGGGAGAAGGGAAGCACAGGGGTGGGGTAGTTGTAGGGGCACCCCCTAGAATGGCATGCAGCTCAGCATAGAAGCGGGATGTCTGGGGCTCTGACCCGGAGCGGCTGTGTGCCTCTCTAGTTCTTTGGTAGGCTTGCCTGATATTCCAGGCAGGACTGAATCTCCATTAGATGAAACTTAAAGAAGGGAATGACCTGGAGTCACTCCCATTTATGTCCAAGTGCCCCCGTCAGACCTCACCGAGGCCGGCCAGGAGCACCCATGTCTGCCCAGGAGCCCCCGACCGAACTCACCGAGGCCGGCCAGGAGG